ACATACATGCATTTATTTTTAACATAAATGTTAAAATAAGTAAATATATCAATACACAAAAAACAATTTATAAATAATGAATACAAAGTTGATGTATATATATATAAATGTATATCAAATTAAAAAGTATAAAGTGTGTGTGTGCAGATATTCACAAACATATATTAATAAAATCCTACTAATACAAATGATTAATAAAATCACTTTTTTTCATATTACAATATTAAAAGTGTGTATAATAAGTCCTACCTTCTACAGTAAGTTCGAAGGACAAACTGCGTTTGATTCCTTCAATGGACACATCACACACATACAGGCCTGCGTCACTATACGTCAACTTGGAGAATTCGGGCAGTTCGTCTAGTTTACGGTTATCCTGGAGAAATTGAAAGAGTTGTTTGTTTAGCATGACTAAATGAACCTAAACCAGATCTGTTAGATTCCCTGCTATCTCTTACCTTACTCCATGTTACTTTTGCTTCAGTAGAGGCATTCTTTTCCAATGACACCTCCAACTTTTCCCCGAGACTCTTTAACACCTTGCCTGTAGGAGTGAGGCTTACATCCAGAACTGAAAGAGAAAGACAGAAAGCATGTATCAGTCTGTTGCAGGCTTATTTTTCGTACACCTGTCCTAAAAATATTTCAACCACTGAAGAGGCTGAAACGCATCACATTTCTTCACCAAACAAAGAGCGCTAAGGCCCTCCTCGCACCCCCTTATTCTCACCTGAGCAATTGTTTTCTATCTTCACATGGACAGCTGAGATGCAACCAGCTTTGAAATTGCACCACACAGACGCCGTGAAATATATTTGAGTCTCCAAACTGAAGCGTCACCTCAATGAGAATTATTGAAAGGCCAGAGTGTGTGAGCTTATCAGCGAGCTGGAGACCGTAGCAGCCTCAACTCGAGTCAAAAACTCCTAATTAAGCTGTCTTCCCCCTTCGCTAATCCTGCTGAAGATAGATATGATCAACGTTTCACTTGTGCATTAATTCGTACTATAAAGAAAGGAATTAATTGGAAAGGAAAAGTTTGGTGAACTCCGACTGCTCATCTGTTCAATGGCTGAGTCAGTTTATTCAGGCTTGACTCTACAGCAACATTGACGCAAACAACAGCTAATGTTTTTTTGGTTGAGCTAATGTTATTAGATATTATACTCTGTATCTTTTAAGCCCAAAAATCGAATAAATAATGCTTAATATTCTAAAGTGTAGCTATAACTGATGGGTCTGTGCTGTAATTTCCTGAAATATTTATCTAAAAAAAGGTAGGTAATCTTTTATCAGGTATTACAAAAGCATGATAAAAGCTCCGTACAATGTTAAGTGATTTATTTTTCCTTCTCTGGTTCCCTGGTGAGTTTCTTATTCATATTAACACATTCCACATCTATGAAAACTGGTAAAACGAAACTAAAATATAGCGAATAGGTAATTTTTCCCCCCAGAAAATGCTTGTGATTTTTGTTTTTCAAGGTTAGAACTTTCAATGCATTTGCATTTATTCATGATCCATAAATGCAAACAGTATGCTAACAGGTTAGATGGTAATTTGCGGCAGGCTAGCTAAAATGTGTGTGTAATTTAGTTGAGAATACATGTTTTGGATTTGAATTTATTACAGTTCATTGCCAAGAAGGACAGCACATTGCTGAAAGCAACAGTACATTGTGAATGAACACAGGCTGGCTGTATTAGACGATTCTTTGAGCATAATATCACACTTGATATTGCTAAACATCAATGTACTTGTTAACCGTGTTTTCAGAAAACCTGGTGCTTTTTTCTCAATGGAGAAAGCATGTGTCGGTTGCCAGATTTAGTAAATAAATTATACCACTGGTCAAAATATTTCCACTTATTGGGGGAATTACATCTCTTCAAACATAAGCATTTTAAAGGCTTATGGAGGCAGATATATCAAACAAAAAAAAGTTTTCTGAATAATGTTTAATGTAATATTATATTATAATTTATTATTATATAATATTCATAATGTGCAATCATGATTAATAGGAAACATAAAATCGCCAAAAAAAGGTTTCAGAATAAATGATAATGCATTATTATATTATATTACATTATATTATAATATTATATTATTTTGATTAGTGGGAAGGGGGATTAGAGGAATTTGGAAAAGCATGCCTCTTGCACTATTTCTACCATATTTGCAAAAAGTTTTTGAAAGTGATTCTTCGTCATATCACCAAATGTTGAGAAACCTGCAATTATGACCAACAGAACTGCAGCGAATGCATTTGGAAATCCAATTCTCTGTATTACCACTTGATTTTAAACTGACTCGTCTCTTTCCAAAATCTCCATCGGGTCTTTCTCTAGTGTGTAGACGCCCTTAGGCAGATGCCCTTAGATGAGAGAGAGATAGAGAAGAAGAGTGCATCATTCGCCCACTCACAGCTCACTGTGACCATCTGAGTGGACTCCATCACATCGTTGTCAAGCAGGGAGCACTTGTACACTCCAGTGTCCGCTCGGGTAATGCCAGTCAGAGTGTAGACATCCTTGTCCGTCACCGTGACCTTCTTGCCCTAAAGAAGGCATGAGAGAGAGGAAGACAGTGTAATTAACCTGTAGGGAAGGATACAGGGCAGACAGCAGGACCCTGGAGATGAAAGACTGGTGTGGTTGCTGTGGACACAGCCGGCAATCTCTCACCTTAATGTTGAAGTTGAAGCTGGTAGGAGGAGGGTTTCCGTCCGCCTGGCATTTCAGTGTCACATCATCACCTTCTCTAATGGGACTCTGAGAAACAACCTGTAGACTCACCTTCTCAGTAGGGTCTTAAAGAGAAAAAGGAGAAAACAAACATTAGAAAGGCCAGAAGAGAGCCTGAGGAAGATGGACGACATTGCACGTCATTGCACGAATTCTGTGTGACTTTCCATATCAACATGTAGCTAGCAAACAACAACAACAAAAATCATTCTCTAAGACACCGCGGCATTCTGCAGACCCCAAGGAGCTTAAATGCCTTCATTTCCACAACCATTTGCAGTCTCTTGTTCTCGTCCTCTCTTTCTCACCCAGCAGCCACAGAGCATTTCACATCAAATGTTCACCCCGAGGCACTGAACAAACCTCTCAACATTCAGATAAGAAAGAGAGAGAGAGAGAGAGCGATGCTACAGCAGACTTGGTTACTGGCATTATGCCTGACAAGACCTAGAAAAAACATCAAATTGAGCCTGGCTACCAGCTGAGACCTTCAATTCAAGGTTCAGGACTCAAGAGATGGCTTCATGTACTAGGCGATGCACAGATATGCAGGCACCTGCGAACACGGATCCCTCAAACCAGCTGTAAAATCAAACAAATAAAGCATCAAGGTGCTAGGCACAGCATGCGTCACATCAGAACATTATCTCAGGTAGAGACAAAGCCCCAGCAATTGACTACCAACCCAATGCCGATTCGATTTCATCTCCGAGCTAATGTGGGAGATCCACCCCTAGGGGGAGCTGGTTTGTGTAAAAGTAGCCATGTAAATAAAGTACAGTAACCTGAATCTACTGGCACAGTAACTGATACTTTACCTGAATTGAATTTAATGATATAAAAAGACTGGGTACCATGAAATTATAAGATGACATAAAATACTGGCACATACTGGTACTGTAAGTAAATGCATACAGGTAAATAGACATCTTTTTTTATTGCATTGTCTTTGCTGGCTGCATCAAAAATAAAGTGCAATTAGGGTAATCTGAAAGTGTCTTATGCACCGATTTTATTTAGACAAAAATAACAATAAATAACATTGGCTTTTGGCTAATAAATTGCTTGTAATATTCCTCTTGGCTACATTGGCTAAGTTGTGAAATATAATGTAACTGATTTAATAATAATAATAATGTTGATTAAATTAATACATTAATAATAAAAATATGATAAAACAAACCATTCAAAAGTTTGGGGTCAGTAAGATTTAGTTATTTATTTGTTTTGTTGCTGATTAAGAAATGAATTATTTTAGCATTTCAGCAAGGACACATTCAATTGATTAAAAATAACATTTATTATTTTACAAAAATTTCTACTTAAAATATGTGCTGTTCTTTTTTTTATTAATCAAAGTATCCTAAAAAATGTATCACAGTTTCCACAAGAATATTAAGCATCTGTTTTGAACACTGATAATAATAAATGTTTCTTGAGCACCAAATGAACGATTATGTGACATTGAAGACTGGAGTAATGACTGATTAAAACTCATCTTTACAATCACAGAAATAAATGACAAATTAAAATATATTCAAATGGAAAATTAATTTTAGATAGTAATAATATTTCTGAATATTATGCTTTGCTGTATTTTGATCAAACTACTGTAGCTTTGGTGAACATAGAAGACTTCAAAAACATGAAGAAAAAAACTACCTCCAGTAGTGTCAGAAAAGTACTGTTTAGTATGTAGTTAGCATCAATGAAGTTACTTACAGTGAATTGGGAAGGTCTCGGGTGCTGAAACCTGGTCGGGGCCCATCACATGATTTGCCGTGCAGGTGAATTGTGATTCTACATCCTCTTTGCTAGCTGTGTACTGCAGACGGGAAGAAGTGCTGGACAGACCTGTGGCTGGGTCCTTGGTAATAGCAGATGTGATAATGATCGCTGCAGTCACACACAAACACACATTTAGACACATCAGTTATTAGAGCTGGCAAACGGAAGTGCCTGAAACCACGTTACAACGGCTTGATTCTGTCAATACTGTCAGAATGTTCTCTAACCACTAACCAATCAGCTGTGAGCTTGAGACTTCAGCAACAGTTAAAGGGGTAAGTTTCATTTATTTCCTTTATTATAAGGGCTATTTTAGAATAACCATCTGCATATACACATAAGGGCTGTCGCGATTCATCGATTTTATTCGACTATTCGATTTTTAAAAATCCTCGACTTCATTTTGCTCGCGTCGACAAACCGGCAAAATACCGGAAGTGGCACATTTCACGGTCGAGAATCCATAAAACACATTATTAGACTGTTTCCCAAGGCTGCGTGATATATTAAACCCATTTAAAAATCATAATTTAGCATAATTGTGAATTCACAAACGCTATGATTTAATTAAATAATTATATGCGATGCAGTTCTAATACAGTATATGCTCTTTAATTATTTACAAGCGTGTAGGTTAAGTACATGCGTCACACAGCGGCTCCGTTCACAGTAGTTCCACAGGAACTGTTATCATTTACATGTGTGGAGCGGCTCAAACTCCATCTCTGCATGTTGTTGAGAGTTTGGGTTTATTATAACGTTCATCTGGGAACGCAACGTGCGCCATTTCATCAGATTTGTAAGGTAAATCATTTATAAATCTATGCAAACACAGGAGAATACATCGCGGTTTCAAAATAAAAGCTCAAACCCTCACTCTGAGTTTACACATTTTGATGTCCACATATTCATTTAATTACAGTGGCCATAGCATTTCTGTCCTAAAGAAATGGCCAAATATTAAAGATTAAGTGAACATTTGAATGAAATGATGCTTGGTCAGTATTAAACAAGGATTAAATTGCACAGTAATGTGTAAAAACAATCGTCAGGCCGTTGGCGCCCTCTGTAAGCCTTTGTTGTAATGCATAATGTACATTAGCTCTATTGTTTATAATACATTATGTATTTTAACAGTTTTGTTCAATAAAACCATATGATTTCTTGCTTTTGATGCTTTATTTAAACTAATTTTTATTGCCTCATTTCTATTATATATGTATTTTAAGTAATTTTAAAGGCTATTGTTCACTTACATCTATTTTTATTACCACAAACAAAAAAAAACTAAAATTATAATTATAGGGCCCTATGAAATCAGTTTTATTTCCAAATTCAGTTTTTTTTCCATTTTCATTTTTCTATACTCTGTTTTAATGGTTAAATTAAATTGTATTAATCAAAAAGCCTGTCTAATTAATTGAGGTTTACAGTTTTATCTTTACCAAATTCTGTTTTCCATTATTTTCTGGATTCCATTTTAATGGTTCCATTAAATTTTATTACTCAAAAGCATCTCCAATTAATTGATTTTTCAGAAATACTGCACATTTACATTTTCTCCTAAATAAATTATAGTAAATAACATTTCTGGTAAATAGTCCTTTAAAAAGTGTTTTTTGATTATACTTTTATTATTAGTAGACAAGAACAAGTGGACATGTTGTCATTCTTACATTATAATACTGAACTTTGATTTCAGTGATTTGGACTATGAGATGGACACTTGCTTCTTGCACTCTGTTGCACTATACTTTTGCTTTAAAAAAAGGATTTTATAGAAATTTGGATTTCATTTGGTGTAATAAAATATAGTTTAATAAAATATTCCTAAGTAAAATTGTTGATTTTTTGTGGAAATTAATCGATAAATCGATAAATTAGTCGATATATTAATCAAAATAAAAATAGTCATTAGTGGCAGCCCTAAAACATATGTTTAGAAACTAAACTAGTCAGTCCAAGACCACAAGCTGAGAAAACAAAAATATGTAAAATAAATTTCATAGCAATCAGTTCATGCTTTTTGTAAATGAATCTTCTTTATTTCAGACAGATTCAGAAATAAATGGCAGAAGTAGTTCTGCAGCATGTCAAAAACAGGTACTGGGTGTCTGTCAATTAAAACATATCGGATGCTTGCAGTGTAGACAGCTCCAATATGCTTACAATATGCGCGATATCTAATTCTGTTGTGTCGCAACATGCCACACACATCCAATGTAGAAACACAACATTCATCGTAATAACTTGACAGAAATATTACACATACTTGAGACATTCTATGAAACAAGTGCCTTCTCGATTGCAGAAAAGTGATTGTAAGAGAATTTCTGCAAGAATTTATACAAACATAGTGCCATCTGAAACTAAATGAATACAAATTTATATGTTGGGATATTTTGGGTTTGGTTTGGTTTGGACTCCTGACATTATCATTCAGGAGCTAATAATATGACTTTACTTTAAAAAAGCTGAAAAATATTCAAATAAATTTAGATATTAACAATATTTTTAATATTAAATATATATATAT